ACCCACCTATGCTGAATATTTTTTCTATGAAAAACACGTTTTGATTTTCATCTTTAATACATTTTACTTGGATTAAATCTTTACTTTTATATTCTCTTTGTTTGGTTAGTTTATACCTATATTTTTCACCATCTTTAGTATCTAATATATCATAAAGATTACTAAAAGCAAAATTTTTAGCTTTATAGATTGTTCTTTTAGACTTCTTGCGAGCCGTTTGATATGTTTCCCAGTTCTCTAAGCTTTTATAATGTAATCAATTTTTATAACATAACTTCTTATATTATCTTTTCTTGCACATTATTATTCTATCATTAACTATTTTTATTATAGAAAATTTTTCTTTTGATTCTCCATGTACATCTTTTGCTACTTGTTTAATAGTTTTTGTTACTTCATCACACATACCATTTGCTTCTTTAAGAACATCCCAAATTTTTAAATCTTGAATTTTATTCATAAAAATAATTTATTTGTGCTTTTTAGGTTTCTCTATCTAATTTTACGATGAGGAGTCATAACATTCTTTATTTTACAACTCTTCATTTTAAAATCTAGAACTAATAATCGATGTTCGGTACTTAAATCTTCACTTGGAATGATTTTACAATCTTTACAATCTTGACGATCTCTTCTCATAAGAAAATAATCAATTTTTGTTTTATTAGATTTATTTGTATAAGTAATAAGATATTCATCTCTTTTCTTGAATAAAGTATTAGTATTAAAAAAATCATACGCTAAAGCAAAATCTAAAATGACTCTCCCTTCTTCATTCGTCACTCCAAAATCGTAGCCACTATGAATATTTAAGAAATCTTCTACCACTCTACTGACATGTCCATTTAAATCATGAGTAGCATAAATACTTATAGCATTAAAAATCTTACTATCAACAAAAATCTTTAGGACTATAATTCTATCTTAAAATCTTTTAATTTTTACAAAATTATCTTTCAAATTTTTATATTTAACTACTCCACTATTTCTGCCGTGACTCCTACCTGAATGCCAATGTTTAAAGCCTATGCTATCAATCTTCTTAGCCTTTTCTCTAACCCATTTAGTTTCTTGAATACATAAGATGGTTATCTTCTGATTAACCATAACATCTACTAATTCCATTAATTTGTTTGTGAGAGTACCTATATTCTAAGTTCATATCTTAATATTAGTTTAATAGATTAACTTCTTTATCCGCTTCCATCCATAATGTGGGAATCATCTCTTATTTGACACTATATCTGGGCATTGATGTAGTGGCCCTTGTACACTTTTTATTGTATTCAGACCGTACAGTGCGCGCTTCCAGGGGACGTCCTATCATGTACACAAAGATTTAAATTGTTCATCTCATGATTTTTCTACAAAAATTTTACGTTGGTTGTCGACTGCCTAACACAATACTTAATTTTTTGCATTTGGGGCTTACGAGCAGGCAATGACAGTGTTACAATTTTAAAGAAATATAATAAAAATAAATACTGCAGATTTGTATTATAAATGGTTAGCTTATGTGATAATTTTGACATGGTAATACATCTTGTTAACCTCGTTTGTTCTTTGTTAAGCGAAGGCTTGGCTAGTTATATATGGCTTATATGAAGTCCTAAAAGACGTATTAGTTAGCTCATCTTGTCCATGAATCTGCTGTGAGATTTTTCATGGAGTTGTGATTGTTGCTTTTTTTAAGCATATTATGATTGTTGAATAATTTTACATCACTGTAAAAAAGCTAGTCTGGTATTGGAACTGTATATCTGATTTTGGGGGCACATGTGGCATTTTACAGTAAAATTAGAATTTGTTTCTATTTTTGTTCAATATGAGTATGAAGCTAATTTAGACGAAATTATAATAATCTCTAGTAGAGTGTTCATGATACTTCATGACACGGGATGGGGCTTAGGGCCTATTTGAACCGACCAATAGGCTTAGCAGGAATTGCCGCGGTCCAGCTGGAGGTTGGACCAGCCTGTCTCTCGCTCCCATGAGGCGGGAAGTGCCACCCAATTGCGTCCCTTGCCTTTTTTGTTTGTCGATCCCTCCTCCTTTGCCTATTCTGTTTGCTGCCCAAGTGGAGGAGCCCTACTTCCTATTCTATCTGCTAGCTATTATATATTTGTTGTTTTGGCTTGCTTAGGGTTAGTTCTTGGTTATCTCTGATTTCAAAATTCTTCCTTCGGGCGTTTCTCCCCTTCGTAAGGCTGTATCCGAAGGCAAGAAGGTGCTCCGGTTGTAACTCATTTGAGGTGGTGACTATCCCCGCTTGTTCCTTCTTCCCGCAGCAGTACATCCTCCCGGCAGCCTTCCTTGCTGCTGCACCTCATCCCACAGTCTTCCCTGCAACCACCCTCATTCCCAAAATTCTTCCCTGCAGCCGGCTTTCCTCCCAACGTCCTTCCTTACTGCTGCACCCCCCTCCCAGTAGCCTTACCTGTTGCTGCGGCTCCATCCACAGCCTTCCTCTGCTACCGAACCTCCTTCCAGCAGCCCCTTTTAATGCTGGAAGCCTTCCCTACCTATCCCTTGCTGCCAACCTTCCTCCCAGCAGCCCCTTTTAATGCTGGAAGCCTTCCCTACCTATCCCTTGCTGCCAACCTTCCTCCCAGCTGCCTCCCTAATGTTGCTGTAGCCTCTCGATCATCCTCACTCCTGCTGTCCCGCCGGAAGAAGTCACTTTTGCCCTCGCTCTTAGGTTTTGTTTGTGTTTGTGTCATTTTTTTTTAGTTTTATGAACTCTTGTTATTTCTTTCCAAATTCCCGCAAAAATAATAATACTTTGCTTTTGTTCTTTTTTTGGGTTACTTTAGTATCACTTCATTTCTTTGTTTTGATTTTATACAAATTATTTATGCATATGAATATTGGTATTATCGATGCAATTTTTTTTTTAGTCCATTTGGTTGTAAAAATTTTTATGGTTTTAACGCCAAAGTTTTTAGGACTAATGAATTTTGATAGATTTTGTGACAACTGATAAGAATATTTCTAATTGAGTATTTCCCGCTATTGTTTTATTTTAATTTTGGTTTTTGATAGTTTTTAGCAATCAAAGACATGCTACAAGTGGATTAGCCTATGTGGGTGGAATGTTTGGTAGTAAAGGAGAATCTGTTTCTACTAATAAGCTTATGTGGCGTGGTTTCGAAAAATATGGCAATCAAAGACATGCTACTAGTAAAGGGTTGGTTAACCATGTTTGTCACTCAGGTTATTTTCAGTGGGTGCACTATAGTTATCAATAAATATGGCTGATGAAATTTATTGAATTCTATGAGGTTGGCCTCCTCAGTCCACGTGCTATCAAATAAAGGAAGAACAAAAGAAGAAGTTGATACTTACATTTGTCGTAAATTCTTACAAGAAAAATCATCAATCTTTGGTACAAACACTTTCCGTTATAGGCATCAAGTGAAATGTTGTATAACCTCCCAAAACCCTCATACAAGTATTCCCCATGTCCAGAACACTAATGAATTTCAGCATCTTGATGAGGAAAATATTGAAGAATATAAATGTAATGAGCATATTTTTTATTTTGATTTGAACTTGGAATATACAGCCACAATATTTTTTATTTTGATTTGAACTTGGATTATACGGCAACAACTATTTATTTGTACAAGTGAATATCAGTTTTAGACTACATCTGCATTCAAAACTGAATCTGAGATCGAGTTTGAAAACTTATACAACCTTTTTCTTTTGATCTTTTGTTTATTCGGCTACTTTTCACGATTCAACTCTAAACAACTTGTAGTTATTGAATTCTTCAAACTTGCATTTTATGTTATACTTTTCTTCAATCGTTATTCTTCTTATGTTGCTCACAAGCTCCTACTGAATCTATAATTTATCATCTTCTCTGCGTAAGCTACTTATGGAGCAAAAAACTTGATTAAGGAACTCAGTTGAGGATAAATTTTCAAAAGCTGTTCAATTATATGGAAAATATAGAACCAAAAATAATCATTTGCGAGAAAAGTGAGTTTAATGCATGCACATGTTCAGTTGTTACTTCATACAGAAGGATTGCTGTCCCTCCTACTAAGGGTTGTCAGTTAACATAATGCAACATTTCTTGAAATAATTTGGCATGTTTAGTTGCCTTAGATGTTCCCATCCCATTTATCTGAATCGTGTCTTAGGGAATGATGCTGTTTTGAATTTAATAAAGGCAACTAATGTATATACCCTCAATAGGCAAGTATAATTAAGAATTAGATGCTTGATGACAATGATGAGTGAACTCATTAATGTAGAATAATTGATGTTGCTGGAGTCAAATATGGTTACTTCTTTATGGTTATTTTTTTCCTTGCGGTGGAGCTAAGCTTTGTTGTTGTTGTTGGTGGAGCTAAGCTTTCTATCTTCACTTATGAGGAAGAACCACATCGTTTAGATCGGATAACATCAAATAATGATTCAGTTTTGATATTGATTTACTTGAACCTGGGAAAGTACACTGTTTGTTTAGTTATCTTGGATCATCCTTCATAGCTCAACCTTTTGGTGGAGATTTATATTGATCGGATAATTTGCCTACATATACTATGTAGTCAGTGGAATTCTTTGATTAGACTTTTTTTATCTTATATTTTGTTAAGGTGAAAATATTGTTGGAATAGAATATCTCGTGTACATTTTATGTGATTGAATGTTTAGTTATTGGTAGGAATGGCAACTGCTAATAAGAATATGACTAAGAGTTTTCTATTAGAATAAGTTTGTTTGTGGAATAATCTCTAAAAAATCTTGCTCATATGTTTGAATGACAACAAAACTGCTAACAGTTCTTGTGAAACTGCTTTATAATATTTACAGATTTGTTCTAATTTCTGATATTGACGCAGTTTCCCGGCTTTGGACTTGATATCTACCTATGTGGTCCTTTCTTTTTGGCTTTTGTTTCTTTGGTTATGTAGCTACATAGGAAGAAACTATTAGTAAACCACTTGTCTTTTTGGCGATTTCTCAACCTAAGAAATATCTTCCAGGTCTCGGAGGGAAATTCACCATTTACCTATATAATTGTTGACAATGAAACGTAAGAAAGCTTCCTTGTTAATTCTAGTTTTGTCCTGCTTTTTAGATATTGAAAATTATAACGTGGGTGAATAGTTGGAGATACTATTTCTTTTTGCTTGTCAATTATTGAGTTTTATTACTTGTGAACATTTAATATGAGGTTCATTTATTTCTGCTGCTATCCTTCTATTGTAAGTTATATAATGCTTGGATATAGATTTCAATATGGTTGCAGCAAGTTGTTTTGTGATGGTTAATGCTAATATTGCTCACTTCACATCAAATATGGTCAAAAGTTAATCTATCTCAATCTGCAATATAAGTGTTTTAACTTTTAAAGGGGTTTTGCTTGATATGATCGTTGCTTTAAATAATATAAATCTATTTTTCTTTTACACGAGATATTTAATTTTATTTTCTCTTTTTTTCTTCATCTTTGCTTACCGCAATGTTTTTATTTTCTAGTGCCATATCATTACTAGAAAACTAAATTCAGCTATTCTTAGTTTAGTCTAGTTTTTGTTTTATGGCACCCGAACATTGAAATTTTGCTTATAGTATTATCAGATGTACAATGATAATCACATGTAAGGAAGTGATATCTAGTTGCTTCTTCAATGTAATCACATTGAAGGTGGCATGTAGTGAGAGGTTTTTTGTAGAGGGAGTTGGAATGAGCGGACATCTATGTAGTACCGACACTTCTAAAAATGTGTTGTGCTCATGTCAGATACGTATCGAACACTGACACTTGTCTGACATTTTCTTCTCTAAACTGCAAAATATTTATCTTAATTTTTTTCAGGCCCGAACATGTTCATTACACACCACAACAACGCATTAAACGCGAGCTTAACACGATTTCAAGAAAATGGGATTAAGAATTAGAAATTATAAATATGCTTATAACCTTAATTATACCTCGTAGTTGAAAGTGTCTCATCTCTCTTCATGTTGAAGCTCTCTCTAGCATTTGTCAAATCGATCATTGAATGTGCATCCAATATTCATCGAAGCTAAGCATTGGTAATGCCCTCTTTGTGATCATGGGATTTTTTAAATTATAGTAGATAAATTGGATTATAAGTTGGATGAACTCTTTTAAAACATATTATATCTAATTTTAAAAATTAATTTTCAAAAGCACGATATTTATGAAATTAAATTTTATTCTTGCATAATTTGTGTTGGGATATTTTTAATAAGAAATAATTTAAAAAATATATAATTTTTATATTAATAATTAATTAAATATAAAAACGTGTCCATGGCGTATCTTGTCATATTTTTTTTCAGTTATTCATGTCCTTGTATTATGTTGTGCTGTGTCGATGCTTGATAGGTGGACATCCACTAGAGAGTTGGAAGGAGTTGACATCCACCATGCTTTTTCATTTTATGTGAGGAGAAAGATTAATGTATATTTGTCATTATAAATAATTACGAAGTTAAATTTGAAATAAGAGACCCAACTAAGATCCATTGATGAATTCTCCTCAATTTTAATAGTAAAATGGATTTCAACAAGGCATGGAGAAGAAAGATGATATAAAATTCATTCATCCAAAGCAACAATTTTATTTTTTCTTTTCTAATTTTGAAAACCATAGTCACTCCAGTCTAATTTTAAACATGTTTAATTTTGTAATTGTACAGTTCAGTATCTTGATCATCAACTTTATGGTCATTACCTTGGCTCTATTGAGAGAGCTTTTTTGTTGGTTCTAGGTCAAATTTTCAAAAGACGGATTATAGTTGTGATAAGACACCATCTAAAGATTTGTTCTTTATGTTTGCGAGGAATTTAAGATAAAATTCTAGATTTTTTATTTGTGCAAGCCTCTAATCACCACTCATGTTGATGAGAATTTTCGACTAAAGCTAGTTATGTGCTAATTTTCTAGCTAATAGTAGTATCATTTTGATTGGTATCATTGGACCTTAATGATGAAAGGTTTAATGATCTCTTTATCCTTGATTGTCATGCAGTTTAGTTTACTTAGTCAGAAAAGATAGCCAATTTAACCTGATCGAATTTTTCTAGTTAGTAGTCATGTGTTACATTTTCTGAGGGGATCATGAAGATATAGAGTAGATGTTTACCTAAGGGAACAACTTTAAGTTGACATTAACTGCAAAAAGTTTTGTGACCTATCAAGAGCACTCTATAACTCACAACTCAAGAGGGTTGAACTATTAGAGAACATATGAGTTTGATCATGACTGCAATATAATAATGTCATTGTGGGGCTAATCATCCGGTCTAAAGGGTTTGATCCTATCTACTTCTTTATGTGGAGAACATTAGTGGTATGTTTATTGGCATGAGATATTTTGAGAGTGATTATAAACATGTGTTTGATATGTTATTGGCTTTTTGTAAACTTTAGATAGTTTATTTTACTCGAATTATTTCGTATTTTATTACAATTTACTCTAGTGTTTTTATATTTTATCATATTTTTTTGCCTAAAATAATTTGCATTAGAATTTGTGTTTTTTATAGTAGTATTCCCTCCAATTGAGCTTTTCTTAATCAATTAGCTCGCTCTCCAGATTGGAAAGTTCAACCACCTTATCCTCTAGTCTAAGCATAGACTTTTTTCCTATCTCAGTTGTATCGACAAGGTTAATCACTCCTCAGCTGTATCAACAAGTTTTATCACTCTTGTGCTTGTATGTGAATGATGTAAGTAAGGCGGGTGCGGAGAGCTCCCGTGCCGCGAGTGGGAGTGGTGGACCGGCTCCACTAGCTCAATTGGGGGTCGGTCTAGGGTGATCCCGAGCTGAGTGGCCCAAGTGAGTTATCTAACGGGGCGAGCAGCCTCCCTTTCCCCTCTCATGCTTCCTTTTATGCTTCTTCTCCTTAGGGAAGGATTTTAATGGCTATTCTGAGTATTCCCACCCCTTCCTTTTGTAGGAGTTTCCTTTCTTCCTCTTTCCTTTCTACTCTTCTTTCTTTTCTTGTTTCCCGCCTAGCTAGGGCTATATGTTTGCTGGTTTACTAAGAGTCTAGGGAGTTTTTGCTATGAGTTGATTTAGATTTTTTATGTGGAATCTTTTTCCCTGTTCTAGGGCTGTATCTAAGGAGGTGGTGGTGCTCTGGCTGTATCCTACTCCGAGGTAGCGACTGTAGCTCTCTTTCCTTTCTCCTCTTCTTTCTTTTCTTGTTTCCCGCCTAGGTAGGGCTATATGTTTGCTAGTTTACTAAGAGTCTAGGGAGTTTTTGCTATGAGTTGATTTCAAATTTCCTATGTAGAATCATTTTCCCTGTTCTAGGGTTGTATCTGAGGAGGTAGTGGTGCTCTGACTGTATTCTACTCTGAGGTGGTGACTGTATCTCCCTTTTTACCTTTCCTTCTTCGTATCCTCCGCTTCCCTTAGCCACTGTCTTTCCCCAACAGCTTCTCTCCTGCGCTGTGGACTCTGTTTCTGCTGCTGCAACCTGCTGTCCAGCCAGTTCAGATACATCCCAGCATCCTACTAGCACCCCTACAACAGTTACCTTGCTGTCCCGGATCTTCTCCATTACTGCCTTTTCTTTCCAGCACCTTCCAACCACCAATCCACTTGTCGCCGGCCATATGCAACCCTCCATACTTGTTGTCCTCGCAATTCTGCACCCTTTCCTCGCTGCCATCAGCACTCCCTTGCTTCCACCATCCTTGTCAAATATCCCGAACGACGTAGCGACAACCACCACCCTTGGAATACACCTTAGAGGTGTTTGCTTGTGTCGGTTCTATGTTTTAGTGATGTTATTTTCAGTTTGAGTGGTTGCAACTCTATTTCCATATTAATAAAAGATGTTATTTTGTGGTTTGGGCTTTCTCCTCCAGTATCAAGAAGACTCACCTGTCAATGAAAAATGATTGGTCTCAGAATTTTTCATTGATGTGTGATCAGGTATTTGCTTGGAGTATTTGCATTTGTAATTTGAGAATGAACTCTTTTTGTTGAGATTTTATGTCAGTGCAGCCATTATTGTGGTGTATATTTTTTGCATTATCTATTTTACAATTTGAAAACATGATTGTGAAAATAGACCCCGAATGTTGAGATTTCCTGCCAATGCAACCATCATATGAGCGTGACATCTAAAATATTGGTATTTGTAATTTGAGAGGTTTTGATTATAAATTCTTCCGTTTAAATTTTTCATTAACATGGCCATCATTGGGATAGAATGTCAGAAATGCTTTGAACATTGTCAATTCTGTATGCTTTTTGCGTAGTATTTGGTTGATAATGTATATTAATTGAGTTTTTAGATGCTCTTTATGTTACGGATCTTAACAACACTATCTTAATCATAAAAGGTTGGGTTTGTAGGAGAAACATACTATTATACTTTATGAATGTAACAATATTATGCTTTTCCATTTTGAACATGATAGTTTTTTAAAGGCCCTGAAAGCCATATGTAAATGTAAAATAAATGTGGTTTGATGAACTGCCAAGAATGGATTAACTCCCAGCCTATAGTAATGTCAGTTTATTTGATTAGATTGAGAGTAAGAATTAAGTTCACCATCTTGGGATTTAGTTGAAGCTCTTTACTTTAATATTGCCAAAAGTATCAGTCTCACCAACTCCAGATTGAATTTGCTTAGTGTGGCCATTAACTTTTAGTTTGAGAAATATGTAATGCATAAAAAAATAATTGAAATTTATAATATATAAATCGCAAAGTAAATGCTTTTATGTCTGTTCAGACCAGACATTGGTCACAATTGCACACCATCACCATCTTGGGATTTAGTTGAAGCTCTTTACTTGAATATTGCCCAAAGCATCAGTCTCACCAACTCCAGATTGAACTTGCTAGTGTGTCCATTGACTTTTAGTTTGAGAAATATGTAATGCATAAAAAAATAATCGAAATTTATATTATCTAAATCGCAAAGTAAATGCTTTTAGATCTGTTCAGACCAGACATTGGTCACAATTGCACACCTCCTGCACTTAGGGTTCAGACCAAACATAAATCACATCGATGGCGAGTATGATCTCTAGAAT